ATTCGAAACGTCGGGTATTTAAAAAGTTAAATATACGCGATTAATTCCGTAAAAACTAGTATTATTTCAAGAGACTACAGACTTCCTTGCTACACATCTCTCTCGCTTAAAAAAATATACTTAACGTTAAATGCGATAACGCTAGATGAGATTTTTAACACAGTGTTTATCGATACATAACATCAGCCGGGCAGACGGCGTGATGGATGCTGCAGGAAATTGACCCGCCGGCGGAAATCGAAGCCGGCCATCGCTCATCTCGCAGCTCCGACGCTCTATTGGCATCCGATAAAATCTTTACGTAATACAGTTTTGTTACGATTCTTGCCACTCACCCTCAAGATAACAAACAGAAACTTTACTACTTAATTTATTCCGACTTATTATTCCTATGGTCCAATTTGTGTGCGCCTATATAGTTGGTCGTTACTACTCAAATATATCTACGAAGGATTCCTTGTCCAAGTATCTTCCCAGCTTCTGGAATAGAATTTTCTTCATACGTATATTACAGCCTATCAAAGTATCCGGCAAAGCTGAACTTAGGCCCCTAATACTTTACAGTACAATATTACTTTATTTCAGTCATCAAGGACTTAAGAATTAAGACCATTTGCCCATAGCAATGTATACCTTATTCTAAAATAGATATTTATATATTTTATGATAAGATATATATTGCTATAGGCCAATTGTCTTAATTCTTAAGCCCATGATGCCTGAAATAAAGTAGTTATAGCTCAATAGTCACATTATTATTCAGCCCTATTTCATTTGATCCACAACTTTTTGGCCATCTTGTATAGATCATAAACATAATACTATTTAGGTAACTTTCTTCTTTGGCCTGTCCCTGTATCGACGAAACGCTACCACAGAGGGCCAGAAATCGGGGGCGAGGAATGTCTCTTACCCTTACTCTTAATGACTCGAGGTGGCGTTCATTACTTATTCAGTTTGAGTATCCAACGATCGAGATAATCGCTACAATTAGAGGAGAAAGAACCGTAAACAAACATAATTGTCGCCCCCCTTCGACTGCTAACGCGACTCAATCAAAGAGATTAATGAAAAGATGAAAGGGAGGTTATTATTTACATTTTTACGAATATTTAGGCATCGCTGAGCCTGTAGCAATTTCGCTGGCGCAATCCCCGGGATATTCAAATCACCCCATGAAGCAGAAAAAAAAATTAAAATAAAAATGGCGCATGACGTCGGCGCGTCATTAAGTGTAATTGTTTCGTGAATGCGCGCGAAAACGAAAAAAGGCGCCGTTATCGCCGCGCCATTAAATCGAAAATGGTGGCTCGTGCTCGAGGTAGAAATGTTTCGAAATAGGAAATTCTTACATTTATACAAAACAATGAGTCTTTTATAATTTTATTTTAGAATAAAACGATCACTTATATAACAAGTAGTAAACTAAATTTTTATAAAACCAACTTTAATACAAATAAAATAAGAACATTACCAATGTATTCGAAGTCAAATAATACGCATTATTAAGGACAACCCAAAAAGTACTGATCAGATCTTGATCAAATTTATATGGAACCACATGAAAAGCACCGGCTTTCAAATAAAAATAAATCAAAATAGTGGACAGTCTGCTTGATTCATGCTTGCAAAAGTATCTGAAGTTGAATGACGCGCAGTTCGGGTTTAGGCCCGGACTATCCACTGAAAGCGCAATACTTAAGCCTAAAGCACACTGTCCAAACACGCCGGAGGACGCCGGTGTACGCCTGCTTTCTAGATCTCTCCAAAGCATTTGATCTGGTATCGTATGATGTGCTTTGGAGGAAGATGGAGGACAGGGGTTTTCCGGTGAAGGTGCTAAATCTCTTTCGGTATTGGTACACAAAGCAAGATAATGCGTTAAATGGGCTGACCAATTGTCCAAGTCGTACAGGTTGGAGTGCGGAGTAAGGCAAGGTGGGCTGTCATCTCCAAAGCTGTTCAACCTGTACGTAAATGACCTCATAGTGGAGCTCAGCAGCATGCGAGTCGGATGCAAAGTGAGTGGTGTTAATGTAAACAAACAGTTACGCGGATGGCATGGTGCTGCTGGGCCCCACTACGAGTGCTATCAGAGAAATGTTGAACGTATGTGAGAGCTATGCTAAGTCGCACGGTCTGGCCTACAACGCCAGAAAAACCGAATTTATGGTCTTTAAGGCCGCCGGTAAGTGTCCCGAATTTATGCCTCCAATTTTCCTCGGTGGAGTGGAGCTGAACAGAGTTTTCCAATTTAAGTACCTGAGCCACGTACTTACCGACGACCTTAGAGACGATTTAGACATAGAACGGGAGCGTAGGGCTTTGGCGGTCCGTGGTAACATGCTGGTACGTAGATTCGCTCATTGTACGGATGAAGTCAAGATTACGCTTTTTAAAGCATTTTGTCAAAACATGTACACGAGCAGTCTGTGGATCAGCTACACCAAAGGATCGTTAAACACCTTTCGCGTCCAGTATAATAATATCTTCAGGATGATGTTGAAGCTTCCTTGTTTCTGTAGTGCATTTGAAATGTTTGCGCAGGCGAGAACGGATAGTTTTCAGGCACTCATGCGCAAGAAAGTGGCGTCATTAATAAGCCGCGTACGGGGAAGTGACAACAGCATCCTGAGGATGGTTGCAGATGATCCACATGCACCTATATTAAGGAGCTATGTACGGACAATGTCCAGATTTGTTAATTATTTAAATTAAATATTATTACAATATAGTACTACTAACCCCCCTTACTATTAGAATTAATTACTAACCCCTATGGACGTATATTGTCTGAAAATAAAAAGATTTTATTTGATTTGATTTGAAAAGAGGTTAACCTAAAAAAAGTTCTGAGTTCTAACGCACTAAAACAAATTTGAAAGTCGGTTAAAAACTACAAACATTATTAACTGATATTTATATAACCTAGCAATTATTATTAGCAAATATTAAGTAATTATAAATGTCTAAATATAAAAACTGATCGAAAACCAATGGGGAAAAAAAGTATTGGAGGGGCAACCTCGTACCTCTTACCTCGTTATTACAATTTCAAATATTATAACCAGATTTTAAATATTTTCATAATAATCATTAATTATAGATTCAAGGGAGAAAGAAGCATTAAAATTTGTAGGAATACATTATATGCAGCAATATCATCAACATAATCACAACGCATCAAAGGGCTTCTATTCTGCGTGGTTAGAGTGAGAACACCCACTTACCTGATGGTGTGAAGCATGACGAGTCCAGTACTAACAGGTCAACTTTATTCGAAGTTGGTTGCAGATGCCCATAGACTGCAGTAGCCTCTTACCATACTCGCTTATCAAATATTATAAAAAAAGAGAAAATTTAAAGATGTTAAAAATGAATTAGCTAAGTTCCGCGTAATAAAATAAAATGGTATGTCTTACCAAGTTTGAACAGTACCTTTAACCCTTAAGCACACAGTTGAGGGGCGCTGATTCTATTCATTATCATAAATGAGGATATTTTATTTTAATATCCAAAGTCATTATACAAAAAAAAACCGACTCCATGATGTAGTCGATGGTGGCTCCAAATTTCTGTTCAAATATAACGTCGTAGTTGATTGAAATCCATCAAGATGGTGCCGATAGAATAAAGATTTATTTATGTATATACTATAATATCGCAAAGTCAATATTACAGTGAAGCGTGAAAAGATTTTCTAATAAGATCGGAGTAAGCTGCCAACGAAATGTTTGCTTTATTAAACAAGTAACAAGTGAGTGAGTTCAGCGGTCTCACAGAGTAAAGGGCATGGGAAGGAAATGGTTATGGTATACATCCATCAAATTAGCAAGCAAATCATACGGCCGAGTGCGAGAGCAATCGGAACTACGAGTAGCTTGCCCTAAATTATAATAGTGATTGACTGCGTCTAGAAATACGTCATTTATTTTATCGATCGAATTTACTCCAAAATTCATTGCTGAATTATTTCAAACACTGTGAGGTTAGGTTTCCATTTCGTACTTTATATATGAAAAAAATAGAAATGAAATAAAATTAAGTATACGCTACAGAAATGCCTCTCATACTTATATTAAAACCGATGAAACCAATTGTTTGTAATTGTAACTTGAGAGAGGTCTTCAACTAGTTGTGGACTGTCTACATGTAGATAGATTCATAAGTATAAAATTGTGGTTATGTTTTACTTTTCGGTTCAAAAAATACGGATAATTTAAAAAAGGCAACTTTATTCAACTAACGCAACTATTTGTCTGTGAAATATTTGACAGATTATGTAACAAGGGAAGTTAATTTTTTTGAAAAGTATACATATTAGTTATTTTTTCTGAAATATAAGTTATATTCTATATTAATTAGATTAGAAATAAATAAACCAAACTACAGATAATCCTACAAATTTTCAATGATGATGACATTGTGTGACCATCCGCGTAACAGATAAGTTTACCTTAGTCTGAACTAGCGACAACTCGCGTGCGTAACATTATTAGCCTCATTGCACCCAACGAAAAACATTGACCTTTGCATAAAAAAGTGTTCTTGCGCTCTTTGCTGATATCACTAAGACCTTCTAAAAAGAACCGGCCAGAAAGTCGCAACTAGACGTAGACTTATTGTCTCCCAACTCTTACATTTTAATTATATATTTAATTCTGCTAATATATATGACGGCGCATCACTAGCGGCAAACCAGAGACAGCTGCCAGCCTAACGGAGCGTCGAGTCTATGGTGAGTGCGGCGATATTGAACGATAGATTACCTATGTTAACCAGCGCGAGTGATCTCCGACGAATCAATGTTGTTCTACGAGTACGTAAGCTTGCGTCTTTTTCTTAAAATTATAATTGTATTGTACGTAATTAGAGTTTTCCTACATATCTTTACGTTGATTTTGTTACAAAGTGTAAGAACTTTTCCGAATTAAAAAACACTTGATTGTAACTTGGTCGTTACTTCTTTGTTATTCATCCAAATACCCACGTAAGACGCTATGGCCTATCCTAATAAAGGCGGGGGTCCGCCTACATCAGAAGTGGATATCCCACTTGGGCAGGATCAACAGGAGGAGAAACAACCATCAAATGAATATAGAGATATGAAGCTGTTGAGTACTATGAAAGCTTTACTTACCCGAGTGCTGGCGACGTGTCCGGCGCCAACGGCAGATACTAGCGCACAGTCAAGCTCCGTAAAGCTGATATCCAAACGATACAGACGCGGACACGAAGGTTGGTGCAAAGTAACTGAACTAATAGTCAAATAAATCGCCTAGGGTGTGTCAATTTGCTTGTGGTCATTTCGGGTGCCCTAAAAGGACGTGCATATTCTTGGCTGATTAAGTCAAATTTGGATGAGTTAATGTGTCAACCTATACTCCTTCAAGATTATTTTGATGAAGTGCTACGTTATCAATTTGAGGCAAAGAAAACTGTTCTGGAAGTTGGGTTACGCCTATGAAACATGTCAATCATGTTTCATAGGCGTATACCAAAGACCCAGATGCCGTAACAGAACCAGAGGTAATAATCGGTTACGTGATTTCCGTTTTATATCAAAAGGATGGATTAATTCGTCGTGAAACTACCAGGGCTCAACTATTTAGTGTCCTTGGTGGTGTTTACCTGAAACGACGCTTTTAAGTTACTGAATTTCAGGAAAATGATTCTGAAAGATCTCGGATGGCAGCTACTGATACCAAATTTTGCGGCAAATGTCACTGGTGTGGAATACTAGGGCACAGACAGGCTGAATGCGGAAAACGTCGAGAAGATTCAACCATGAGTTCCGCGACGTCATCAGAACCATAACATGCTTCCGTTTCAGCCCGTACACTCAGAAAACCTGCTATGCATGTGAAAATTCCTTTTTGGTCCAGTCTTATTTGTTTTTTCTGGATAATAATCCAGAAAAAACAAATAAGACTGGTGTTGGACTCGCAGCAAGCAAAGAGGTTAATCTGTGCTAACAACGACTGTCGAAGGGCACTTTGAGGACATCATCTGGTGGGCCAGTCTCTTTTTTGTTTGACAGTGGATCGTCTCGCACTTTGATGAAGGAAAGCTTTTCTAATAAGTTCCTGGGTACTGTGCCAATGCTCTCGTTCTTCTCACTGGTATAGGTTTTGACGAAATAAGCAAGGGAAATTTCACAAGCTTTGACATTTTACGTAGTACCGGACTCCTACCCTAGCGACCCCGTTATCATAGATAGGTACATCTTAGAGAATGGTGCATGTGTTAAAATTAATAATCATAACCTAGTATATTCTCTTTAGAGATTTTTTTATCTTGTTATCATTATTAATATATTTTGTTATTATTATTAATTTCATTCATCGCATTCCTTTAGGAATAGAAAAAAAATTGTGCACAAACGTCGTTCCACCAGATTTCTCCCAAGTAGAAACAGATTTAACAGGTGACGACAAACGAGCGGTCATTGGGCTATTGAATAGGTATGCTGATTATTTTATAGAAGGTGTCCCAGTAAGCGTATAACAACAGGACAGTTAGAGATCAAGTTATAACTGCTTGCTTGCCAAGTGTTTGTCCTTCCTATAACCTCATATCCCTTCCGTGCACACTGAAGGGGGAAGGAGGGTGTCTAAAAGGTGACACGATTCTTTCGACCAATAAAACGCGGGCCCCCGAAATGAGGTGGTGGGAAAGCTGACTCAATAAATGTTCGCGCACCTCCCTCGAGCGTGCTCTTGCCGCGCTCCGCTACTTTCGATCGCACCACCTGGAGCAGTCGCGTCGGGAGTCGTCTCACGTAGTGTGAGTGATCGCCACGCACCGCTCTTGCTTCGCACCGCTAGCCTGGATCGCATTTCTGGGGCGCCCCAGAAGAAACCACCTCACGTCACGCCAGCTCCTCTTTCAACGCACCACCGCAACAGAAGCGTTGTCCGCAGTACCAGAATCACACCCCGGTAAGTGTGTTTCCTTTAATTTTGCTCCTACTTGAGCCTTTGTGTTTGTTAGCTAACCCGCCCCATTTTTTCTCCTTATCGGCTCAAGTAGAACTCCCTCCCAACCTTGGCGAAGCAATGGATTTGGAAGAGCGAGTGCATTGTCCAAGGTCGTCGCGTGCCACGTCCACCGTCTTGTTGAGGCATAAGAAGCCGCCCGCGTATACAGTCCACCTAGTAACATCTCGCACAATAGAGTCAAGGCTCGACCTGGGAATCGAACTCAGGAACCCCTAGGCCTGTCGCTCAACCAAATATAATGATGATGATGGTGATAAGGTTAGACAATTTATTAGTCACCTGCTAGTACGTGATCAATGTAATGACAACATTTTTATGATTCTGATAGATGATATTTATTTTTATGATAGATGTTTTTATAAAGCTGAAGTGACAAACGAATTTATTAGTCCACCTGAAGGCAAGTGACTAATGAACTCGGTGGATACCTGTAGCCCAATCCATAGGCTCCAGATGCGTTGTAACTTCTATACGGTAAGTATCTCCTCAATAAGGCGATCTATGGGAAAGGCCTATGTTCAGCAGAGGAATTTTAGTAGGCTGTAACTATAACTGTAGAAGCGTATATTATCGCCTCGTCGAGTCAGGAAGTTTGCGGTCTTTGACCCTCATGCCTCAACCAAAACCACGTAAATCTGTTGGGCCTACGCCTGACTTATCTCCGGTCGTTTCGGATTACCGTCCTATAATCCGTCCATATGAGAGTACACCTGTGCTTGCGCATACACTTGAGCGACATAATTTTGTCCCGCACAGATGGCTAGATTTTTCCGTTGAGACTGGTTGCTTTAACAAAATTCGATACTCGGTCGGAAGAATTTTATTTGTAGGAGCGTGGTACTTTATCGTTCGTGTCAACCCACTGGATTCAACCAGTGTAAAACAATAATATATAATAAAAATCATCGATACTAATAAATTATTACTACTCACATCACTACACAGTGTGTTGAGCTAAAAATATGAGGCCGTGGCATGCAGTGCGCACGCTAGATGTCAATTACCAATACGAAACACGACGCCCGCACAATAAGGGAGCGAGCAGCGATCGTAAATCCAACGTGGAACAATAGCAATGCAGTCAGGTGCACCCGCGGACTCCTCAAATTATGTTATCGTGCTCGCTCCGAACTTTTAAGTATTTTTTTATAGACCATAGCGACCGTATTGGGCGAATTTATTGCTTAGGGGAGACCATTGTTTCCCCTTTTAGTACTTTATTTACTTTGCGTTTCTTCTGCTAGCAGCAAATCTAATATTTCGGTAAGTAAGCATCATATTTGTAGATATGTATCTCTATATATATAATTATTCTGTTCGTGTGTATGTGTGCAACAGTATGAATGCCTGACCCTACTTTGGACAGCACAAAGGCGTACAAAGTTTCACTACTGTTTATTCAAGCCATACAAACCATAACCAACTCACTTCAATTCAATTTGTTTAACATCTCCATTTCCTTTAAACAGCCATTATACCGTGTAAATGTGAGCGACGAAATGATTTCGTTGAAATGGGTTCATTTCCAATTTTTGTTAATAGCCTAGAAACACATACGAGAAAAAAAGTTATTGCGTTGCGAACCCATTCACGAAAATATTCATGGATGGATTTAAAAAACGCACATTGCCGTGTTTTAGTTTTTTTCGTAAATGTTTCTATTGGTATCTTGAGAAAAATCAATAAAATAAAGGAAGAAGAGGTCATAATAACTATTTATCTTGTACTTAACAATGCTATCGTGTAATGACGTGCGACCAATGAAACAGACCCATTTTATTGGTAACGAGGCATTCCATCTTAGGGGTTTCTCTCTCTCTCTCTCTCTCTCTCCCTCTCCCTGGAGTACGATCTCCATTAATTATTTAAATTATTTTTATTCTTAATCAGGTAAAGATATAAATATCTCTGTGTCACATTATGTATTTACCATCAGGCCGGACTGTGTCACCCTCACTTGTATAGTAAGTACTTTTAATGAATAAGTAAAGAATAAGCTGTGGGTAGTCGGGGCAGTTGAGTCTCGCCTATACAGTTGACAACTGAACGTCTGAAGCTCTATAGCAGTTGCTAGAGTCATTGGATCTATAAAAATATATGAATATATATATATATATATATATGAAGCTGCTAAGCAAAAAGTGAAGTGCGCAGTTTGGATCAGCCGCTGTCACTACATCAGATTTGATAGACCACGCACAGTCTTCGCTAAAGAACACCAATTTCTTTCGAGAATGAATTTAAAACAACCTAATATCAATAGAAAAGATGGCTGAGTACTATCTGTTTGGGATCCTACAATTAATAAAACAAAATTATGGATATCTAAAATAAGTTCATAGTAGGTAGATCGGACCAAAAATAAATTATAATTTTATTCTCAAGGGATCGAGCCCGGTTTGCTCGCGTATTGTGAAATTTGTAGCGAGCGCTAACTGTCTGACCTACCATGGCTCCGGCACCAATGAAATTGTTACTTGCAATTTTAAGTGCTGATTTACCACGTGCTCGGCGGTGAAGGAAAACATCGTAAGGAAACCTGCATGTATGAGAAATAAGAAAAAAAATATATTTCGAAGACATGTGAAGTTCGCCAACACATATTTGGGCAGCGCGGCGGACTGTTCCTTCCCTAAGACCCTCTTAGAAATGAGAGGAGGCCTGTGCCCAGCAGTGGGACGTATATAGGCTGTAACTTTACTTTACTTTTTTCTGTCCTGTCCACTGTCCACTCGAGCCGCTCGTCTCCGCAGGTATAGCGATTGATTTACGAATGTCGCAGCTCTGCACTCCAGTGGAGCAGTATTATGATTACGTTAATAAAACAACAATGTGCCCGACTGTCCACTCGAGCCGCTCGTCTCCGCAGGTATAGAGATTGATTTACGAATGTCGCAGCTCTGCACTCCAGTGGAGCAGTATTATGATAACGTTAATAAAACAACAATGTGCCCGACTGTCCACTCGAGCCGCTCGTCTCCGCAGGTATTGCGATTGATTTACGAATGTCACAGCTCTGCACTCCAGTGGAGCAGTATTATGTTAACGTTAATAAAACAACAATGTGCCCGACTGTCCACTCGAGCCGCTCGTCTCCGCAGGTATAGCGATTGATTTACGAATGTCGCAGCTCTGCACTCCAGTGGAGCAGTATTATGATTACGTTAATAAAACAACAATGTGCCCGACTCTCCACTCGAGCCGCTCGTCTCCGCAGGTATAGCGATTGATTTACGAATGTCACAGCTCTGCACTCCAGTGGAGCAGTATTATGATTACGTTAATAAAACAACAATGTGCCCGACTGTCAACTCGAGCCGCTCGTCTCCGCATGTATAGCGATTGATTTACGAATCACACACAATCATTAATCATCGGGAGTTGACTGTAACGCTACAAATGTGTAATCGGTAACTATGTTTTTATTATTTATTGTTTGTTTAGAAATACAAAAATACGTTTTCAATGTATTTTATAGATTATATTATTTCTAGTTTAGTATTCGATGGTAAAAGTAAAATCTTTTACTTTTACTATCTTGATTAGAAAATTGTTGTATTGCACTCAATAAGTTCATTGAATTACTTATTTTAATTAAGTTTATTTTTTCATGTTCTACATTGTTTTAGTGAGAAATAAATAAATAAGGATATTTGAAAGTTGTATACAAGGATATTTGTATGTATAGTTATTGCGCAAATGATAAATTGATGAAAATAAAATGATGAAAAAATGTAATTTTATCTATTTTTTGCGATGTACCATTTATATCTTATGTATTTTATTTCCATGTATTACAATTTTTTTTGTTATTTTATTTTAGTATTCGCATATTAACTTTTTATTACACCTACTTCATTCTATCTCTGCATCATCCCAAGGTAGACTGGGAGAGAATGCCTTAGGCATTAAGTCCGCCTATATACCACTTGTGTATATGAAGTTTTAAATAAATAAATAAATTATTAAAGTTATGAACTACATACTAAAAACATGGAATAAATATACCGTATTTATAAATAGCAGCTCAGTGATGCTGTGTTTCGCTTGGTAAATGTAGAGAACTGGAGATATTTTTTACTGGAAACGAGGCATTCCATCTATGTCCGCAAGGTGTGAATTTATCAAAATTTTGATTCTTAATTCTTTCTTTACCTCTTTCTTTCTTAAGCTATCACTTACCATCAGGTGAACTGCGTGCTCTTTTGTCATATTAGAAAAATAGTAGTATTTACCTATTTATTAAAAAGTCGTCGGTTCGAATCCGCCACTTGATTTTAAACTTATTTGTATTGGCAACATGAATATTATTTGTTATGCCTTATAAGGAAATAAATTATTTTTGTTTTGAATTTATATTCACAATTACATCTAGTTTGCTCAATTATTTGTGAACCTTTTGAATTTGCACCCACTAAACTTTTTAACAAGACATTTTATCTACGAGTAAATAATCAGGGATGACAACGCATCTGTATTTTGGTTCTTAATCTAGGATAGATGTAA